CTTTGCTCTCGAATGCTTACATCGACGTTGATATTTGGCTCAATACAGCGATTAGCGATGGAGAGTCTTGTGAAGAGGCTTTGAGCGAACGTGCTGGTAATGACGCTGAGCTTGCTCGTAGGAACACTAACTTCTTGAAGCTTTGCAAGGATGCTCTTCTCATCAACACTATTTTAACTCCATAAAATTCGAACTTGTTGCCGATTAATTTATTTTTATTGGTGTGGTTGTTGTAATAATCTTTTTTCTTTTATATAATTGCCTTATGGTGTGTGGGCTAAAATTAAACGATATTTGTAACTTGTATTTTGTGAAATTTTGAATGAGCGTACTACAATTAATTAATATATATAAAGTACACAGTAAATATGTATATTTTATGAAATGTTTTTAATTAGTATTAGACTCAACATTACAAATAGAATTATGTATTTTACTTTTCCATCTATCTTACTTAATGAAAAAAGATCCAACTCATTACGTAATTTTGTTTAAATTTATAAAGTTTATTTGTTAAGAATGGAGAGTTGAATATTCAATTTTCTGGATAAGATATTACTTATTTAATGGATCAAATTTTGTGAAGATTTACATTTTACAATCACTGATGATTTACTTCTTTTTTTGTGCACCAAAGTCTTCATTACTAAGATTAAACGATTATTACAAGAGTAGAAGCAACACCATACATGGGCTAAATCCCAGATAAATATTTCAGCATAAAACAAAGATAAAGACACAAAATGATAAAAGTTTGATAAAGCGTTATGCAAAATATTGAAATTGCCACTTGCGATCCAATTTATGAAAGACTTACACCACTTTTCGAAATCTTCAAATAACAAACGATTAGTCACAATTGTATGTGACGTCGAAACACCATCCAAAACCTCAGTCCTCATCTAAATGAGAGTCGTTGCATCTACCGGTCCCAAACAAACCTTTATACAAGGCAACAAACGGCTGGGAAATTGGTAAATTTTCCGGGTTTTAAACACCAGGAGAAGGTCACCTCTTACAAAGAGAGATGCTGGTGGAATGAGTCTCTCCTTTGAGAAGGAGGTGGAAAAAGATCTCTTTCGACCCTGTCAAGAGGAAGGTTGATTAAACTTATCCACAAAGGATAGTCTTAACGGGCTAAGCTGTGCCTTGAGATTGACATAGCTAGATTTGGTCCACGTATGAGCATTGAAAGATCAGGCCAAAAGCTGTTAGCATAAATGCTTTGAATGTCATGTGAGGATTCTGAATTTCCCATAAAGCATATACCAAAGACAGTCAACCGTGTATGCGACTCCATCACCTGAAGAAATTGAGCAACTAGAGCATTCAAGTTTAGCAAAATCTGAAACATAGCTCCTTGATAAAATGCCATGCTCACCCCATGGTGGAGCTGAAAGGGTCATCCCTTGAAATAAATCAGACATTAAAGGACTTGACTCTTCCACACCAGCATACAGTAAGATGCGCTTGACTCCAATTTCCAAAGGAACAAGCATTGATTCCAAGCATGTGGGTGCGGATATAAATTTATACATTCCGGGTTGTGCGAGGCAGATTTTTTGACAAAAATAAAATTAAAACCTGGGTTGGCTGGTCACCGGGGTGGGTTTGACCTGCAACCCTGAGATGTTTGTTTAGGTCTGGGCGTTTTTACCCCAAACTGAACTCCCTACCCTAACTCGAACCGAAAAAATCGAAACCGGATCCGAACCGTTATATAAGAATATCCGAATGGGAATTGAGAGCTTGGTACTTTGGAGTATGGGTATAATCCGAACCGAACCGAAATCCAAACTTGAATCCGACTATATCCGAAACTAGTGAAATATGTTACTATTTTTATATATGTTAAAGGAAATTAGATGTTTTAGAATATTTTAAAATTTTAAAATTTTATTTGTTATTTTAAATAACTTTTAACTAATTTATGTAGTTTGGCTTGTTTTTAGTTAGTTTTGTGAATAATTTAAATATTTTGAGTATTTTTTTTAACAATTTTTTAAGTTTAAAAAAATATTTTGAACGATTTTATACATTGGTTATAACCCGATCCTGGACCGAACTCAGAAGAACCAAACCGAACCCGACCCGATAATTAGTAAAACCCGAATGGGACTTATGAACATGGTACCAAAAATCCGAAAACTGAAATCAACCGAACCGAAACCGACGGGGGCACCGAACGCCCAGGCCTATGTTTGTTAATCCTGAAATACCAGAGGCAGATGAATTTAAACAATGGTATTTATCTACTTCAATAAAAATGTTTCACTTTATAATTGTATAGATTAAATTATATAACTTATTTATAATTGCAGAGGTAATGATGATTCTCAAGCGTTAATTCTTCATACTCTCACAACACTTAATTTTCTGATTCTCAGTTCAACCAAAAACTGATTCGGTTATGCAAAACTCAATGAAAATACCCTTCTAAAAAGTTAAATATACATCAAATTTCACATATAAAACTATCATATAATAGAAATCGAATCATTTAATACATTTTGTTATAACCAAAACAAAATCCGCGCTTCTCAAGCACGGGTCAAAATCTAGTTTTTAAATAAACTTCATGCCAAAAATAATTTCAGATCTAAAAATGTACAATTACAAAATTAGAAAATAGTATTTTCTGCAAAATAATTCAAATAGTGTTTTAACCTAAAATTAGCAAGCAAAAACATAGATCTTGTATCTATAAATTTAGTTTTATATAAACAAAAAAATAAAATTTTTAAATGAATATATCTAATTCTTACATTTTTTGGAAGGTGATTTGAAAACTTTGGAAGAGAATACCTGAAAAATAAAATATAATTATGAAAAAAATATTAGAAAAAAAAATTAAAATCATATTTGAGTAGACTTCTAATGAAGTCCGTTTAAAAGTTAAAGTTAATATACTTCATTTGTAGTCTACTCAATCCGAAAAATTTTGGATTTGAAAAATATATACATTACAAACATGAAAATAACTTTAAATCTAAAAGATTTAGAAAATAGAGTTTGTAAAATAAATTAGTAGTAAATTATAGACATAGAGTTTGAATATGTAATTGTATTTAAATATAAAAAGAAAAACACACATTATAGATGTAAATCTTACAGTTTTTGGTGGAAGAGAAAAAAACCATGGAAGAATATACCTGAAAAATATAGATGAAACTATGAAAAACATAAGACAAACAATTAAAGTCATAACCTTGTAGACTTCATTAGAAGTCTATTATATATTAGATAATTTTCAGATCTGAAAAATTTATATATTTGAAAATGTGAATCTTTCATTTTTGAGAAAACTAGATAAAAACCATGGAAAAAATATTAACAAAATAAAGATAAAATTATGAGAAAAAAACATTATACATAAATAAAGTTACTTCTAGTTTTGTAGACTTCATTATAAGTTTACTATATCGGATAATATTCAGTTCTGAAAACTATGTACATGTGAAAATGTGAAACATAGTTTTTAATCTGAAAAGAAAACTTCAAAAATTGAATTTAAAAGATAAAATAGTAGCAAAGTACATGCACAAAATTGGTATATATAACTTTATTTGAATATAAACATAAAAATACACATTTAAAATCTATAGATCTAAGACTTACATTTTTAGAGTGGATGGTGATAACCATGAATTAACCTACAAACACAAGATAATATAGTGAAAAACATGATAAAAAAATTAACAAACTAAACAAAAATGCATCACCTTCAACAAATTGAGCAATGAGAGAGTTTTAGAGAGAAGGGAGAGAGTTTTAGTGAGAAATGAGAGTTTTTTTAGAAGCTTGTGCAGCCATTTAGAGAGAGATTGTCTAAATTTCATTTATATAGAGAGACAAAAATGGTAACTAGGTTAAAAATTTTGATAGTATAAACTTCTTTTGAAATATACTATAATTAAAATTTTGGAGTAAACTTTATTGTAAGTCTACTTAGTAAACTCTTTTTGAAATCTACTATGACTATTGCACTACTGCTACCTAATCAATATATATTCGTTAAAATTGTTTAATTATATGAAATTTATTGATTTTTATATTGATGACCTAAAAGAAATTCACACAATTTTTTTTTTAAAATAAAATTATAAGATTAACTTAGAGTGTAAATTTCGTAATAAGTCTATAATATTGACTTATTGATAAGTCTACACCTTGTAGACTTCTCTCTATTAAATGTAGACTTCATAAAGATAAAATTCTAAAATAGCATTCTGGTTTTTTGTTTAGTTATAAGGGGTAAATAAACATTTCTCTACCCTTTTAGGTTGGTTTTGCATTTGATTGAAATTGAGGTACACTTTTGCATTTGATTTGAAATTTTATGTTGTTTTTAGCAAATGTCCCAAGGTTATATTGGATATTTATTTCCAAATCTATGTGTTTCATACCTTTCTTGCTTTTCGATTCATTCGAGATTCACATAGTCTCTTTAGTAAGCTTCCTTGGTGGTTCAAATTGCAGGCTTATAAGACCTCGATACCACGGCTCCGTCCGACAACGTCTTCCGACTTTTTCAACCTCCATGTTCGTTTCAGTGTTAAAATTCACTAATGGAATCGAGATGAAAAGAGTTTCAACCGTCTCACCATTTCTCTTATCGATCTTTTTGCTACCCGGATCTATTGAGATCACCTAGTCTCCTAGAGCAATATCGACGGTTGTAGAGCTGTTCTCTTTCGTTTGACGGGTTCGATAGCCTCAGTCGGCTTCCCACCCCTTTCATTAGGGTATTTCAACATCCTTTTAGAGTATTTGAAGCTCTTTTGAGATGTGGTTACAAGGATTTAAGTAAGATTATCTGCGGATTTCTCAACTTCGAGCTAATCTCTCCTTTTAACACTTATATCCTAAGTTCTATCGTTTTCATTTATTGTTGTTCATTCTACCGTCGAGTATACCTTCGGCTGTAATCGTTGAAACGTCTTAGATTTGAATTAATTAAATTTGTGCACCCAAAAAAAAGAGAACAATGGATATGTATTTCACAAAATGGCTCGTAAGACATGATAAATCAATTAAAAACAAGAAAACAAACTCTTAGCTCATTTTCAGACACCATTACACGACGAATCAAACAAAAGGAAAGATTCTCAGATAACATCATGTTCATCAAAAGAAGATCGTTAGTAGTAGGTAGGTTCAGTGGTGAAGAAGAAAGGACCAGCCCAGTAAAGCTTGAAACTCTTGTCTTCAAGAATACGGTATTTGCTCAACGGCTGTCCTTTCACACCTTTGTTCACATTGGTCGGAAAATCGCAATCAGCAAGTGGAGACTGGTGAAGGAAAACTTTGCACTTGGTCACCATCCTTCCTTCACGAAGCTGTGAAGGAAATAGTGTGGCAAAGAAGTAACCTTTAGCATCAGTTTTGCTGCTCATCATTGAGACAGGAACAATCTCTTCCCCATATACGTCTGTCTTCACACATGTAACTCTTGCCGTTGCACCTGACGTAAACAAACAAGTAATGCCATTCACTTAAAATCTGCTAACGAGTAAAAACAAGCTTTTCTCTTGTCAATTGTTATATATGATCGATGAAGCATGTAACAACGCATAGGAACGCGACACTTAGATAAGATTTTTCTCCAAGAGCACAACAAAAAAACCCAAAAAATATGTATACATTTTTAGTGACTAGCTAGGTTCATAATCGGTAGCCATGTATATCTCTAAAAGGAGACACATACCATGTTTTTTGAAAAGAGTCATACCATGTTAAAGTTTTTATAGAAATATTATTTCCAACGAAATTTAAACCTACGATCTCAAAGCCTAATTACTAATTCAAAAGTTTTAACCACTAGACCATCTCTTTGTTGGTTAAACTTTTTTTTTTGTTAAAACTTCATTTCGTTTTGTTAGAACTCTGATATGAGGTGGGGAGCTATGTGACTGTCACGACCTTATCATACTCAAATTTTCTTCTACCATTAGAACAATTCGTGTTGATTACAATACAAAATACTATATTACCTTGAATTGGGTAAGATTTGTCACCGGACTTGCACATGATGACACCTTCAACGGCTACCGGAATCAATTTTCCGTTCTCGGGGTTTGCTTCATCACCGTAATAAGCAACTGAGGATATGATTAGAGATGAGAAGACAACGAGAGAAGCAGCAAATGAAAGGCGTGAGAAAGCCATTTTTATTTTTGCTTGCTTTAATTATAAGTTGGATTGGAGAAAAAGCAAGTGAATTTTTGAAAACAAGTTTCATGGTGTTTTATAGGCTAATAGCGTTGACAATGAAGGTTAGCTTTCTAATTAGGGTTTAGCCGTCTAGGGTTGACATAACGAGCAACTTGTGATATGAACGTGTATGCACGGCATTCATATATACTGTTATAATGTTTCGACGTGATAGGCATAAAATGGTGTGTGGGAATGAGATTTACCACTTCCAAGTTCCAAAGTGATACTAAATTAAGTATTCATTACATCTATTATATATATTTTATAGAATATACATGTGATGTATTTCTACAAGTAATTGTTTTCTCTGTGATAACCAAAAATATTATTTTTCTTTCATCATATAACTTATTTGTATTCTAAAATAAAAATAGTAGACATATTCCATTTACTTAACATAAACTATACTAGTCCGGCAGTGATTTGAAGCCCAAACTCTTGCATTTATTTTCGGCGACAGAGGCGGCACAGCTCAGGTTCTTGGAAACTCTTATGAAGTTAGAGTGGCTCGGAACTTTCTCTTTCTCTTGTTCGCCTGGTCAAAGACGGTGAAAATTACAAGTTTATTGGGAGCTACTCCTAAAGTGACATGAAAAGTTCTAGCAACCGAAGAAATGAGGTGAATGCCATCTTACTATCATTCTCGTCAACTGTTGAGAACAACAAACGATATTCAAGGATTATTGCAATGACTAGCGGAATGCACCGGAGAGGTAGGGTAGCGAAACTAGTTATGTAACATTTAAATTTGATAAATTTGTTCAGTTTGTAATTGATGCTTAATTCCTGTTCTCGGGTTGGATTAATATATAATGTTCTAATTCTAATGCTTTTTTATGCTTTAGTCTAGAAAATCTTTCCTTTAGGGTTTTGCTTGGTGTCCCACAAGTAGTCAAGTGTTTCCTAAGAATATTAGCTATGCTGTAAAGTATTCGATCTCTACTAACTATCGGAAGGCAAGATAGAGGACATGTTTATTTGTTTTCTATCCAAACCAGATTCGTACGTACACATCTCCCAGTGGTTTAGTGGTTTAATGATGTTGCAAGAATAGAAAGAAAAAATCAATACAGTGCATATATAAATCAATACAGTGTATATAATCAGTAGTTAAACACAATTTTAGATAAATAGCTTCACTAGTGGCACATCTAATCCATGACATAGAAGAGCTCAGTATTTCATTTTTCTTGAGCCATTTCATTTTCAGCTATCGGGCCAGCTCCACGCCAGTCTTTTAGTAACTGTAGTATGATAGAAAAAAAGAAAGAAAATTTTGAAAAAAGATGAAGGAAGTGACAGGCGATATTGGTGAAGACACACTTTGCTCTTAATATTAAAACCCCCTTCCACTATGTGTTTTTTTCTTACTGATCAGTTTATTTTCCTAAATACAATTATAATTTTTTTTTTTTAAGATATTCAATACAGTTTTTAACCATTGTGGTTACCCTCAGATATTCCAATTGATTGGAATAAAGTAGTTTGGATGAGTGGAAACCCTTGAGTTACCTTGACGATGCTAACCATTTATTGTCTTCTTTCTATCTTCACGTTTGCATTTTGATTTCATAGAGATGAAGAGACACAACTCTCGTTAAACAGTTAGGAGTTGGGAAATATGTATCTCACCACTTCTTTGTCCTCGCTTTTTCCTTTGTAACCTTTCCACTCAAAGATCTCAAAAAGCGCTGACAAACATAAAGGAACATAAGTACATAACTCGGTTGGTTCCAAGAAAGGTGGACGTCCTCCTAATGTTTCGTGAACATCTGTGTATGTGAAGTAAACAAACCAAGAAAGACAAGTAAACACTTCTAGATTTTTGCTGTAATTAACTCATAAAACTTGCATGAATGCACGATGATATACTATACAAACATGGTCGAGAAAAAGAACTTTCAGATCTAGAACTTTTAAGTAAAAGCATTATTGGTTACAACGAGTCTAACTCATACAGTATACAAGAGCAACCTTAGAGCACCTCCAATGGTGTTAGAACATCCACAATGGTGGACTCCATTGTGGAATCCTTAGGCAATAAAATAATATTTTTTATCTTTTATTTTATTTTTTTAAATAGTTAAGGACTTTAGGCAAAAAAATTAATCCAATGGTGGATTCCATTTAGGAGTCCTTCGAAATTTTTTTTTTGATTGTTAAACATGAGAAATTTTAAGTGATTGAATCTTGCACAAGTTTGATAACTACAAAGCATGCCAGATTCAAACATAAACGAAATAAACATTAACGGCCAATAGACATGCTAGATAAAGTGACAGATAACACTAGAAACATGGTAAACTTACATCATCAAATAGCTTATCTAAGACATCCAAATTGACATATGAACTCAGACTCTATATACAAAAGGACACAATAAATTTAGCTACAGATGGAAAAATAAGGAAGATCCAAAGATTACTCAAACTATATATATATAACAGGAAACGAGTTGGAGGAAGAGTAGCACTGACCTTTTTCTTGTCACATTCTGTATTGCTTTCGGTTATGGTTGAAGAAGTTTTCTTACTAGGAGCATTCTTACTAACAGGATCTTTCTTCTTCACTGTGGTGGGTTTCCTCTGCGTCCCCTAATAATCGATAGAAAACGAAAGATCATTAACAAGAACATCAATGTAAACAGTAAGCAGAAACTAAGAACATCGAATACAGAATGAAGGCAAAAACCTTTTTGTACTCAGGGTTCATCATTTCCCAGGCTATCTTTATTAGAAGGGACTCTTTTTTAGTATTTAGATAACCAGCAACCTGATGAGCAGCAATAAACCATAAAAGTCTAGAACAAGAAAAGTACATAAACTAGGTTTTATAAGGAAGCTTCTTCATACATCAAATCAAACATTATAGAATTTAATACACAGCAGAGAGCAGCAGGAAAAACACAAGAAAACAGTTTTGAATAGGCTAGACATTGTTTGAACCAAGTGGAAACTATCGCGTAATGGACTTACATGTGTAACAACAGACGTTTGGTTCACCACAATCCAGGAACCAATTTGTTGTGTTTACAGAGACTAAAAAACACCATAGATGTGATTCAAATTCAGATAAAAACTTCCACATAAACAAACTATATATACCCTTCTTAAAAAAAGGTTGAGAGAATGTACACAATGTGAATACATGTGTGATGAGCTGCATCAATTAAAAAAAAACTAATAAGGTATATACTATTTTTTTTTTACCTCAGCATCACTGATACGAGACAAGTCCTCTGCAAGATCACCAACACCTTTTAGGTTTCTAGCCATTGGTCCAAATGCCAATGGGTCTTTTTAGGATTGTTTTACTGAATTCTCCACCTGTAAACGGTGAGGGCAACAATTATATATCATTCAAATATGTAATTAAAGGACACAAGTGTTTGTACAGACAATGCTCCATAAAGAAACATATGTTCAGTAAGTAAGACGTTTTTTTTTCTTGAATCGTCTCGTGTGATTGAGATCAGAAACTAAGCCGTAAAATTGAATCTAGAATCAGATCAAATAGCGAGGAAGGAGAGGAGTGACTTACCATTCTTCACGGAACAAATGTGGCGAGATTGGATCGGTGGAGAGAATTAGGGTTTATAAAATCAGAAATCTTTCTTAGAAGTGTGTTTGCTGATCTTCATATGCCGATCTTCAATATGAAGATCTGCAACGAATCAGAGAGACTTGATTCAGATCCTAACCCCCTTATAGCTAGCTTAAAGGCTTGAGAGAGAGATAGAAAGGGAATCAAAACCCCCTTGCCTGTCTAATGATCTTCTTCTTCAACTCATCCTCGGGAAAAACGACAACAACATCATCGGTATCTCCATGATCTTGATCGCGATCCTCACCGTGGTCTAAATCATCATCGCGATCATTGCCGTATCCATGTTCCCGGAGAGAAGAGGAAGAGAGCAGCAGAGAAAAAAGAGAAGAAAGAGGCGTCATTGCTTTGCCACGTCAACAAGGACTTGGTCCTTAAAACCCTTGAGTAAGGATTACTCCTTAACCTTTCTAATTTATTTAATACTTTTTTATTCCCTAAAACCTAAGGATTACTCATAAGGATTCAATAAAAACCTGCGTTGCAGGTGGTCTTATCCACCATTGGAATCCTTAGCAATATAATAATTGATTTTTTTTAGAATAGTTAAGGACTCTAATCAAAATGTTTCTCCAATGGTGTTATCTATTATGGAGCTCTTAGGAAAAAAATATTCAATTTTAAAACATGTGAAATTAAAATTTTTATAGCCTATATAAATGACCAAAATAGACTTTATTAAAGAGTGTAAAAACACATTTATACTCTTTGGGTTAACTAATCTAGATTTAAGGTTTAAAGTTATGGGGTTTAAGTGTTAAAGTTTAGGTCTTATGGTTTAATTATTTTTTAAAAGTTAAAAATTTCAACAATCAGACGTTGTCATGTCATTAAGGATCAAGTCCTTAAAATGCCTTAGTTAAGAACTGATCCTTAACTTCTGCAAATTAAATATTATTATTCAAATATGATTTGCCTAAAAATACGTTTTAAGAATTTGGTTAAATCTTCCACTACTGGTGGTCTTAGAACAAGTGCATTGATGAAATTTAGGTGGGTATTACACACTTTCCCAAAAAAAATATATTAAAATAATAGAAAAGTTGTGAACTCAGCTCACATGAGCTCTCTGCCGTGAACCGATATAACACTATTACATGGGCCCACGCCACGTGGCGGCCCATGATTGATCCACTAATTTTTTTTATTTAAAAAAGTCAAACAGAAAAAATAAAAATAAAAAAATACTTTTGTGAACCTCAGTGCAGGTTCATGAATGTACATGCTCTTACACGTTATGAGAGGAGGGAAATCTATAGCGTTACACCATAATACATGCAAAGAACCCAACAACACAAGTGTTGTTAAATATCAGATAATGCTTATCCATTTTGAGATATTTATTAGAATATTATTTACTTCATGAGGAAGTAAAAACTG